CCAAACCATTCTGTGATTCTATGATTCTGATCACATTACATAAGCTATGAAAAGTTACATACTGGGAGAGAACGGGAGGGATGAGCAGAAAGTGCAACTTCCACTGAAAGTGGGGTTTTTTTAGATGATGAGTACTAAGATAAAACAAGGACGTGCAAGTACCTCTCCTTTGATGGAAAGAAGACATAATTTCATGAAAAAAAATACTTCCAGTTCCTTGCTCCCAAACAGCCTCTGAAGCAGACAAAATGTCACCGATTTAGCTATTTATCACACTGTGTTCTTGCATAAGCTACAGGGAGGGGATTTGTGAACAGACACCTTCCACAGTGGCCAGTGAAACAATCCCAAGTCCCTCATGTTCACTCAGCACACAGCAGTAATTCTGGTAATTACATGCTGTAATTCCCCAGGACTCGAAAGGAGAAACGAACAGGTTTCTTAAGTTTCTTCAGAGCTATGAGAAGAAAGCAGCACTTGAGTAGTTCACTGAATAAAGAAACTGAGCACTGTAACACACAAAAGCAGCAGTTTCTAAGCGTGCTTCAGGTATTTGTACGCTAAAAGAAACCAGGGGAGCTAGGGTTCAGGAAAGCGAGTGGTATAACCAGGATACTTCTGGATCATTCCCATAAATATCACACATACAGGACCTAACCTCATTGTAAGTAACACGTTCTGTAGGAAACATTCACAAAGTGCCATACATTTCTAGGACTGTTGCATTTATTTTGTCCTCCTAACTTCACTGCTTCACTTCTCTGATTAAAAGCAAACCCATGTCATCAATTACATGGGAAGAGAAACTAACATATAGCTATTACATGTTTTTCCATAGCTACAGTAAAACTAACATATAGCTAACATATAAGAAAAAATAACTAGTAGCTATTAGAAGGAACGACAGAAGTTACAAATATAAAAACGGGGTCCTTTGAGAGACATGGAAGAATTTTACAACCTTCCTTCATGGCGGCTATTTTTACAGGGCTGTTGGAGAGTTCACCATTAGCGAGTTAGATTTCAGAATTCCACTTGGCACTATCTCCATGTAGAAATTTCAAGCAGAACAAGTGGTTTTATTCAAGACAGCACCTGTGATGGCTTTTAGAAACATAGCTGTTGACAGGTTCTTCTTGTCAACCTCAAGGAAAAAAAAAAAAGGAAAAGAAGAAAGATCCTGGCTTACGTCCCCTCTCCTTGCCCAGTTTGCTGGTCTCACTAGTCTCAGTGGCTGAGCCACACAGCATGCCTGACATGGCCCAACTGCACTGGCAAAAGCCCTTTACACAGCTCAGAACCAGGCAAGTATTTACGAGGTGCAGGGAAGAAGCTGGGGAGTTGGTTGCCCCTGTTTATCCCCACTGGACCCTGTAACTGCTGAGCCGCATGGTAAAGGCCAGAATGCATACATTAGTGCAGTTACTGACCACACTGCATTGCTGTTTCACAGGGAGAACTTCTGCTCTTTTTTCTGTATGTAAGAAACAGAAACAATGAAACCTGAAGACAATTAAATGAACTTTTATTAGTGATATTTATACATTTGGTCAATACTACAATGAAAGGGCTCTTCTGCTCTGCAGTCCTGCCTGAAGAACACAAGCAAAGCAAAGCAACGCTTCATGGTGCAACTCACTGCTCCCAGATGATCTTCAGGTTTGGGGGTAGCTCTGCAGCACACAGTTCATCAAACTTGGACACATCCTTCACAGGAGTGCTATAGAAATTCAGGACATCCTCAGCACTGCGCATCAGGTGGAGCTGTGAATTGGGGACAGCATGACCAAGTTCTGCTGCCAGCTGAGCCAGGAGGCGATACTTTAACCTGTTTTCTTTGAGAGGTGTCTGCTGCCAGTTATCAGGAAGCGAGGGTCCAAAAATCTCCTTGACATAAGACTCAAGGCAGCTCTGTATATTCTCTGGAGGAAGGTAGTTCCTGCTGCGTGGTGGGGGACAGATCAGGCTGGGTTCACTCTTCTCTTGATGAACTACTTTGTCTGCTTCTACTTCTTTTTCCTCCTTCCTGTTAACACCAGACAGAAGTATTTTCAGTCTCTGGGCTACTTAAGCCTGAGTAAGAGCACATTTCTATTCAGAATCTTTTAATATTGGACTCAATCTAGCCCATAGACAGTTTACACATCCCGTGGACACAGCAGGTTTGTTATGCATGCAAGAACAAAAGCCCACAGGCCAGACCTTTACCATTCCCCCAAATGCTGCTTGCCACATAGCAATCACATGCGTAGCTTATTTTATTGGTCTGGGTGTAAACAGAATTTAAGCAGATTAGTGACTTATTTTCCCAGTTACAAGTCCATTTTCTAATATGCTGTGAAAAAAGGGTAACAGAAAATAGCCACTACTATAGAAAAAAAATAGTGCCCATAGATAAAAAAATAGGTGCACTATTTTTAACCGCAAAATTGAAGCCTAACTCAAGTTATTTGACTTGCTCATACGCCACAACTTAGTCAACAACACAAGTATGGTTTCACCTAAGAAGTTACACAGAAACGACTATTTTTCACTCCCATTGTAGTGTTGCCCCGAAACATCTCTTTCCCCACGCCAGCAAGCTTCCTTACCAAGCAGGTAAGAGCAT